GAAAAAAGGCAGAGACCCCACTACAATTGTGTTTACCCTTTTCACTCCTGGGGCTAAGTTCTGAAAAGATGAAGTAATTACAACTGATCTCCAGACTACATTGATCAGTTTCCTTGGAGAAAATGGCTGCTTTGGAGGGTGGACTCTCTGCCATTATAGCCCACTGAGGTCCCACCCCTCTCCAAACCCTGCCCTTCCCCAGGCTCCACCTCTAAATCTCCAGGAATGTCCCAACCTAGAGTTGGCAACCTTAATGCAGGGGAGGGACAAAAACTCTTCCCCAGCACAACTGCCCCAATCCATATAAGACACTTTCCACAACTGTGGCTGCTTTGGTTACTGCTTTTCTCTTTTCAGCATAAGGTATTCCTCATTCTCCCCCCCCCCCATTATGATAATCGTACAGTTATTATTCTAAAAGGAAACAAAAGGTAATGATTGAAGCCTCCTCTCCTGACACTTGGAACAAAGACATATTAAGGCAGAGGTTCCCAGCCTGATGAAAGTGGGTACCATGGCACCTGCCTGTCAAGTGTTTTTAGAAAGCGGGCAGGCCTTTTACCCTGCAAGGTTACTGATTGCCCACTGGAAACTGGATTGGCTGTGCAGATATTTTTTTAAAGTTGCTTTTGGCAGCAGCTGCCACCAGAGCAGAAAGATCTTAACTGTGTGACTGAAGGTCCGTGCTGGCAACCATTTTGTGGCTGGCTCTGCCTCCCCTGGCAGCCATTTTTATGACACCCAGGGTTCATTTCCTGCAGGAGCGCACAGGAGCGAAGCTCCGGCAGTAAAGAGCCAAGGGGGCAGGCACATGCAACAAGCCCCACCCCCTGCTCCCAGCAGCCCTCAGTCAGAGCAAGAAGCAGCCAGGTAAGTTGCAGAGCCCCCCCCCCCCGGTCCAAGACAGTCCAGTGGCACCTTTAAGACCAAGTTTTATTCAGGTACAAGCTCTCCCTCCTCTGCGAGGACAGATCTGCACATTCCTCCCCCCCTCCCCCAATAGCTAGCAATCCAAAACAGTCCAGTGGAGCCTGAGCGGTGGGTGTTGCCTTCTGACACACTTCCAGTGATGTCAGGGGGTGTTGCATATGTAAATAAGTTATGCTAATGAGTTATGCTAATGAGCTATGCTAATGAGCTCCTGCACCTCTTTTTCTACAAAATGACCCCTGATGACACCTGTTTTGTGGCTACGCCCACCATTCTATTAGAGAATCCCAAAGGTGCCTGTAAGCTCAAAAAGGTTGGGGACCTCTGAACTAAGGATTAATTCAGGCTCCCCCACAAATGGGAAATAATAATTAGGCTAGGAGGCAGAAGCTGTTTCAAAACAATGAAGGGGAGGAGGAGAATTTAACGGGAGAGTAGCCCTGCTAAGAGGATCCACTGTCTACTAAACGCTTAGACAATTAGGAGAGAAGATGAGTGGAAGAGAGACTCACGAATCAAAGTTATCCCGGAAGCCCTTGGCAAAAGGATTGTGGTCTATCTTCAGCTGGGTAATCTAGAGGGAGAAAGAATGGAGAAAGTGATGGATGGCTACCAAGACATACATATATGTCATACCCCTGTGCACTTTCAAATCTCCCCACCCTCGTGCTTTACATTCCAGTGTCTCCACTCCTCTCTGTGCTTGTCTCCCACTGCTTGAGGGGCCATGGCTCTGCTTTGGCATGCAGAAGGTCACAGGTTCAGTCCCCGGCATCTCCAGTTACAAGGATCAGGTGGTAGATGACATGCAAGAGCTCTGTACCTGATATCTTGGAAAGCTGTTGCCAGTCAGAGTAGACAGTCCACTCCTCACCTCACCTCTAAGCTGAGTTAATGTGAGCTAGCTCACAGTTTTTTAGCCTCCAGCTCACACATTTTTGTCTCAGCTCAAAAAGGATGGCTCCAGAGCAAACTGATTTATGCAAGCAGCCAAATTGCTCGCTCACAACTTTAATGCCAGTAGCTCACAAAGTAGAATTTTTGCTCACAAGACTCCACAGCTTGGGAGCATTGGTCCTCACCTTGGTCAACCAAGGGTCTGACTCAGTATGAGGCAGTTTCAGGGTTCAAGCGCCGTGATGGAGTTTGAATACAGACCCAAGGAGAGAAAAATGCCTGTGCATGGATCGATTTGCAGACGTTGCATGTAAGTCATGTCTAATACATAATGCTTTGTTTCAGACTTCTGTCCTCCACGTCTTATGGCAATGTTGCGTATTATATGTGTCATCCTACTAATTGCATTGACTCCCAGTGTGTAAGCTCTGACCTGGGTGGCCCAGACTAGCCCGAGCTCATCAGATCTTGGAAGCTAAGCAGGGTCGGCCCTGGTCAGTATTTGGATGGGAGACCACTGAGGAAGTCCAGAGTCGCTATGCAGGGGCAAGCGATGGCAAACCACCTCTGAGTGTCTCTTGCCTTCAAAACCCTACTGGGTCACCATAAGTCAGCTGTGACTTGACAGCACTTGACAGACACACGGATTGCCCCCCGACCTGGATGTCCCAGGCTAGCTTGATCTCATCAGATCTTGGAAGCTAAGCAGGGTCAGCCCTGGCCAGTATTTGGATGGGAGACCTCTCGGGGGTAGAGCATTTGCTTTGAATACCGACGGTCCCAGGTTCAATCTCCAGCGCCTGCAGCTAAAAGGATCAAGTAGCAGGTGATGCGGAAGACCTCTAGTGGAGACCCTGCAGAGCTGCTACCAGTCAGAGCAGACAACACCCATCTTGGCAGGCCAAAGGTCTGATACGGGTGAATGTAGTTCCACGTGTGTTTTCATGTACCAAAGCCAGGTTTTGCTGTATACTCAGGAACTGTACTCCTGAATGGTTATGGAGCAGCTGATCTGGTGCTCTTGGCATCCCCTCCTGATAAAGGGACCATTGACATTCTTGGGTTGCCAACATCCAGGTGGGGCCCGGACTTCTCCCAGAATCACAACTGATCTCCAGGCTACAGACATCCATTCCCCCTGGAGGAAGCGCCCTCTTTGGAAATGAACATTTTACCTAGATGGATGTTTTTATTTCAAACTATTCCTGTATTACAAAATCAAAATTTGTTTAAAGACTTAGACCGGATGACATCCAAGTTTATATGGCAAGGGAAAAGGGCACGGATAAGATTGAAAATGCTACATGATGTAAAAGAAAGAGGGGGGGTTGGCATACTGAATTGGTTACTGTATTATAGAGCTGCAGCATTAGTATGGATTAAAGAATGGATTACTTTAGGAGATATGAGACTTTTAAAAATTGAGGGCCATGATTTACTGTTAGGATGGAATACTTTCCTGTGGTATGAAAAAGGCTCTCAAAAATATTTTAAGCAGCATTGGCTGAGAGCAGCATTACTAAAGGTTTGGGATCCTATACATAAAAACTTTTATATTAAAATATCAAGACTGATTATACCTTTAGAGGCATTTACTTTACCCAATGTATATATGGGAGAAGAAGCGTTAAGATACCAGGATATTTTGGATAAAAAAGACAATCTTAAATTACCAGAACAATTATCCTGGTGGAAGAAAGCGCAACTGGAATCGATATATTTGAAGGATAAGAAACAAGAGTTTAATAATAAAATAACTGAACTGGAAGAAATTGTCTTAGCAGAAAACAAAGTGATAAAGAAAATATATAAGATCTTATTGGATGATGTGATGGTTGATGAAATAGTGGGGGGGGAAATGATTGTATGGGCCCAGAATATAGGCCACAATATTAATTTAGAAGAGTGGGAGCAGATTTGGATGAAGAATATAAAATTAACTAATGCTGTGTCATATAAAGAGAACATGTATAAGATGTTTTATAGATGATATACTACACCAGATAGATTAGCTA